TTAAAGAAAGCAATGACCAGGAAGTTAAGCTGTTTTACAAAGTATTATCCGCGTATCGTGCTGGCAGGTGATGGATTTTTCCTTGAAACACTGAGGTAAAGTAGGTGGGCTAACTCATGAAATGTCAACCGAAATTTCGAAATGCGTTCTGGCTTCGAAAAGATTACTTAAGTGGGGTTGTAAGTCTAATCATCATGCAGCATAATTCTATAATGCTCCAGTTACTTCAGGGTGTAGGCTTTCGAAAGAACGTATTTCCGTCTGCATGCAAGATCCACACTCTGCAAAAAACGACTACAAAAGTAGCATGCAATTTTCTCATAGATTTTCGATGCCTTTGAAAATTCAATTATATTTCATGGAAAACATGCAAAGAAAATTTATTCTTTTAAATATTCGGTAGAGAATCGCGTCTTCTCTCGATTTTATACTCGAAAGAAGAGTATAATTCGGTTTTAGAAAACCTTTCTAGCTCCAGAATAATTTTGAACCCCAAACTGCCGCATCACGTCCATTCACAGTTTCCAAACTGCAAGCCGTATATTTTCCGTGTATGGGAAACCATACATTCCTTTACGATATCAAGAGGAGACCATATGAAGTTCGTAAAATTAAGCGGTGGATTTGAGCAATTTTGTTAACTTTAAAAGCCACATTCGTAAATTCAGATACATGGCGTTTTCTAAAGGGTCATTTCGTGGTAGTAGAACATTTGACAATTAGGAACTTTTTTGAAACCGAATCAAACCCTTCCTTCGAGGATAAAATTGGAAGAAGACGTGATTTTCTACCAAATAATTAAAAGATTGAATAGTTTTATGCATGTTTACCATGAAATATAATTAAATTTTCAAGGGCATCGAAAATCAATGAGAAAAATGCATGCTACTTAAGTAGCATGCTGTCGGAAATAAGTTTATTCGAAAGCTGACATCCTGAGGTAACTGGGTCATTATAGAATTATGCCGCATGTTGATGAGTCTTACAACCCTACTTAATTAATCTTTTCGAAACGAGAACGAATTTCGAAATTTCGTTTGACATTTCATGAGTTGGCTCACATACTGTGGCTACGCATGTGACAGCCATTGTATGCAGAGTCGGACGAATAAATTTATTTTTTAACGCTTTACACTACTAGTGAAAAACTCAGAAGGAGATGATCGACAAAGACAAAGGAGACTGAAATGGTCACTTCTGTCTCATTAGCTGTCGTCTGCCAAACTTACCCAAGCCCGGGTTTGAGGGCACCTATGATTGACTAGGGCTAGGTGATGACGGCTCATACGCAATAACTGGTCATTCTAAACTCCCTTTTTCTTTCGGCAATGCTATTCTGAATATATTACTATTAGCTTTTCGACCGTCTGCATTGTCCTCGATCAAGCCCGAAAACACAAAGGAACGAGCATATCCAATAAACTGATCGCTGAGCGCCCATCGAATATATTAGGCGGTATTCAACACGCTTTAGTGAGATTTGACAATTAACGGGATAAACGCCTTCGCACGCAAATAAGGCTAGGCAAACCATCTTAGTAGTGATGATCAGAGGATTCTGTTTTTAAACTAGGACGATGAATGAAAACAGAAAACTAAAGGTCTGCTTACAGACTTGAGGAATGAGAGCAAGTACACCTTAAGGATAAAAATAAGTTTCGCTCTATCGTATTGAACTTTTGCGAAAGGCTATAGCTCTATCTGCTTAAATCGGTAAAAATGAGTGCTATTAGTATACTGAGAATCGTAAAAAGCGATTTGCCGCTAAACCGCCTCCCGTAGGACTGGATTTTCCGATTACGTATTCGCACATTACAATTTTACTATTTAGTAATAATAATTTTTTTGTTGAGCACCCGAGTGGGTTATGTCAATTTTGACTAGAACACCGTCAATGCCCTGTTTTTTGATATCAAAAAGTAGCCAGACATGCTTCTGTAAACATTTTGAAAAGTGGTCTTATGACAACGATGGGGATTGCACAATCTTTAGGTATGTGTTTCCGGATGTCTCACATACGCCTGAGAGCTCTTCTACAGTTTCTTCACCAAAGATATATTTTTAATCCAATTTTCCAGGTCTTTAAATGTCAAGTAGTCATGATGCCTGTAAGCGACTCAAAAAACCAGTATAGTCGACTGTTGATAGAGATCCTGCGAGTCGTGAACCCCTCTGATGTGTGCCAATTAAACGGTGTGTTTTGCATCCTGCATACTAAAGGACAGAGTGAGAAGAAAGGAGTTCGCTTAGCGCTGGCGAAGGCTGATCCTATGACCTTTTCTGCTAATTTTTTCTGGTGAAAAGCGCCGTTGGCAAGCTGACCGTGGTTTGTGAAAACAGAAAATGTTGTCAAAAAAGTACGACATACAACCACAACCTCTGTCCCCATCCCGTGTTTCTCCACAGTTTGCCAGTGTGACTGCTCACTCTGTTCGACCCCCTCTAGACAATCCAACGGCAAACCGTCCATAAAGATGGTCATAACTAGTCGGCCAGGAACTAGCCGGCTACAAAATGGATATTGCAGTTGTCAGTGGAACCCTGGGAGGTAGATGTTGGATATATCCTTTACTGGAAAGAACGTCCTAGACCAGGGCGACAAGATACCAGATTTGCTTTCACCGTCAGGAGCGACGTCGTGGGTGGCTGTCCTGCCTGACCACGAGGCCGAAACTCCGCGGAAATAACCCTGCGATCATCATTAGCACCTACGTCCCCTCGGTGACAAACTTAGACCGCGTAAAGAACAAGTTCTACGAAAAAATGCAAACCCCCATACTGACTGTGTAGATGGCGGACAAAATGACTGTGCTTGGTGAGCTGAATGCCTGCGTCGGCTCAGACTATGCTGCCTGAGGTGAGCTGGTCGAACGACATGGGATCGGCAGCTGTAACAGGCCTGCACAGAGCACAATCATTATCTAAGTAACACCTTCCAGCTTCCGATGCGGAAGAAGTCGACGTAGGTGCGTCCTTGCTGGCGTCACTGACATCTTCTAAATTACGCCCTATTTAAGGCGAGATTTGTTGCCGACTGCTGGAGGGACAACTGCTATGTCCTCTTCCAGATGAGATCAAACTGTGACGGATCGACTCTCCCGACGAAAGAATCGCAAGATCAGGAATGCTGGACTGACCTATTAAGCAGCTTCCTCAGTCGACGACCTATAATCACTGACGAGGTCATCAGTGGGCTCCCTCGAGTGGAAAACAACGCCAACCTCTACCGCCCGCCCCTACTGAGAGACATCATCAACGCTGTGCATCAAATGTCTACCAGCGTAGCATCGGGCTCAGGCCCCTTCAGGCTGAATTTCAAAAACAGCGACAATCGTCTGACGAACAAACCTGCTTCGCTGTTTTAGGTGATGTGGCGACAAGGACAAATTCATTAAAGCTTCAAGGATGCGAAAATCGCGCACAAGCGCAAGGAAATCCACCAAATCGGTCATGACGCCATTGGCAATATTGCTGGAAAAAGTCGCCATTACCTACGCACGAACTTGTAACAGGACCTTTTCCCAGAAATGCAATGCGGATTCCGAAAGCACCGCAAGACCGCACATGCTCTTCACGGCTTGTCAACTGCAAGCAAAATGCCTAGAAATGAGGACCAACCATTTAATCACCCTCTTGGATTTGACGAAGACTTTTGATACGATGCCTCGCTATAGGTTCCGTACAATTATGCTGAAACTTGGATGATCGGGGCGATTCAGCCGCATTAAAAGATAACTCCACGACTGGATGATGGCGTGCATCCAATGGCGCGGCGACCAGTCGGGTTGAATATGGGCTGTGTGCTCACTCCAACGTCCATCATTTTCATGTTCTCTGCCATGCTGATGAATACCTGCCGTGAGGAGCCTGCCAGGCATCCACATCGACTGACGGACGACTGACCGACATCCAACGCATGCAGGCACGTTTAAGAATATCCAAGACCAGCATCCACAACCTATTGTTTGCAGATGACTGCGCGTTAATCCCACAACGGAAGACGATAAGAAGCGGAGTTTGGACCGCTTTGCCTCCGGCTTCGGACGTCCTATCTACACAGACAAGACGGTGATCATGCGTAAACAGACCACAAACGCCGACTTCAATGAACCCCACATCACTGTCTGTGATGCTCAGATCATAACAGTAGATCAGTTCGCCTACATAGACTGTACAATTTCTAGGAACAGCAGGATCAGCAACGAAATCACACATTCTGTATCCATATCCGGCCAGACTTTCGGTCGACTGGAGGACTTAGTTTTAAATAGCCGCAGTCTCTATCTCGACAGGTTCGTCATTCTGATGGCGCCTCTGCATGAAGCAAAAACCTGGGCAGTCTACGAGAATCAGACGCAGAAACTCAACTACCTCCATCTCAGTTGCCTCCGGAAAATACTTAAGCTAAGGTGGCAAGACGGGACCCCAGACACGAAATTTCCAGCATCCACGCCTTGTAGTAATGATGGACGACGAGCACCTACGACGACGTCGCTACGGGAGCTCTCTCGCAAGGAAGAGAAAGATGACGTTACAAGGATACTCAAACACGTCTTAAGTAAGCCGGGGCTCTGGTCGAATCTCATCCAGGATAGGCAGCCCTGGAAAACCACATTGAAGACTGAAGCATTCATATTCGAAGCGCATCGGATAGTCGCTGTCAAGGCAAAGAAGGGGTTTCGCAAGGATCAAGCGCCACGGTCCAGCGACTCAAGCACTCAACCCCTTCCATCGTGCTGTATGATGTCAATAGACATTCTGCGCACTGATCGACGTCGTCGAACAACTCCTGTCCCCATTCATTTTCAACATGGCAACCCCTCCCATCGTCTCAGAAAATTCCGTCTTCCACAAATATCACAATCCCAGGACGACGAAGGCGATGAGGACAACGGTAACTGCTGTTACCACTACGACGACGATGGCTAATGCTACCAATGGGAGCTCGATCCCAAATTGCCACTGCCTCCAGTGATCAGTTGACTTGAGAGCCCGAAACATCAGCCAAATAAACTTCTTGTTCCAGCAATCTCATCATCATCATCATCATCATCATCATCATCATCATCGTCATCATCATCATCATCGTCGTCGTCGTCGTCATCATCATCATCACCACCACCACCACCATCATCATCATCATCATCATCATCTTCTTCTTCTTCTTCTTCTTCATCGTTTTATTCTTCTGAACCCTTATCTTGCAAGCGAAACTTCTCCACCACATCACTACCAGCCCCAAAATCATTACAAACTCAGTGCTTACACATCCGTCATACTTTTTCACAATTGCACCTTCGCATCCCACATCGGCCGGGTCGGTCACTTGAAAATCTGTCGGAATGGCAGGAACTCCAGCATACACTCGTCGCATCCGCCTTACCTGTGTACACTGTTTGAGAGCATTTAGTCATCCCATTGGCCTGCTCGACCATCCGCCCTCCGTGAAGATCTGAGGCAAAACACCACAGACCAAACCCCAGCACCACACTTCTCTTACCAATCCACACATCCATAGGCTACGCTTGAACTTTCTCCACACAGTACACCATACTTCTGACATGTCAACTGCTTCCGGCAGCAAGCATGTGATCCGCTCCATCATCTTCGGCATGGCGAGCGAAACGACACATGCCAGTACATACACATCTCCCTAAAGTAGGAAATATGTTCTTGGTTTATCCTGATGTATGTAATAGTGACCAGGTTGCGTGTGGCACACATAGACGGCTGGCCTAGCCCTGCCAGTCATTGTATCAAAGCCCATGATGAGTGAGCTGACAATCTTGAACAGTCGACCACTGCATTAGAGGGGGAAGAGAGAGGGAGTGAGGTCGATTCCGGAGAATCCATATTACTTCACCTAAATCGTCTGTCCTGGTACTCTGATCGAATTTCAGTAAATGTCCGTTTGACATTAAGCTGTGCATGCCTAGCTGATTATCCTCTATCTTTCACCTGCCTGAAAACCGCCTTAGTCAGCACAGATTATTAAGATGCGAGAATGTATTTGTTGCTGCCTGGGTTTAGCGACGAATATTGCACAAATCTAGGACAAGTTGATTCTCGGTGGCTCCCCCCCACAACCAGGAAATGCGCCTTGTCAGTCTACAGACACTATCGAAACGAAAAAAAACAACAGAAGCAGTCAATTCTATTTGCGTTACCGCATCTCACTGAAAAGACTGGAGCTTTTCATGATGGGAAAAGGTTAGCAGCGGATGAATTCTGAAGAGCGAGATCGGATGACCTGGTGGAGTGGGAAGGAATGCCGCGCGCATATGGGGTAGCTTTCTGATCGGCCCGCCCCGCCTGGACATGGGCTGCCGCTAC